GTTTTGAGAGACGTCTACTCACGGAGTATTTGACTTCAAGGTACTCGCTCTGTGAAGGGATATCTGGGATCTCAAAAGCATAATTCTTGGTCACCGGCTGTTGGAACAGGGGAAGCATGTTTTATAAACGTATGTTTGTAGTTTCCAAGGCACAGAAAGCAGAAATGATGGATAGCAGCAATTACCTTGGACTTAAACTTCATGATTTTGAACTTCTCAGAGAGACTGTTGAACTCTTGGTACACATCCATCATTCCTACCGCACTGTCCGTCTGCTCGCCTGTTGCCAGATTAACTTTCTAAATCACAGTAACACCAAAAAAATGAATTAAAAATGCATGTTTTTGTATCTGCATGTCGACTAAATAAGGGCAGTCTTACATGTTCTCGAGGAAGGAGATACATCGTCCTCTCGATGTTCCTTACAGCAACACAACAGCTGACATGTGCTTTAGCTGACTCAATCCAGACCTTTCCAAACAGGTACACCACACCTTGACAGGAAAACAAAAAAAGCACAGAACCACCTTTTAGGGAAATCAAATCATTGGAATTATGTAGGAATAGGAAAGAAAACATTAAAATGGATCATTTGAGGTTCAAGCATTTGATTTGATTACATAATCATGAATTATGAGTCAAAAGACCTAAAACCATTGGAAATTAGGATTTGTATACACATTATGCAAAATCATGGAGGAGCAGATGCTCACCAGGTTGGTTATACAGGTCTTCAAAAGCATCCAACCAGTAAAAGCGGAAAACCATATCTCCATCAGGTCCCTCCACCAGCGGGAGCTGGCTTGAGTCCACCTGCACATCCACAGGAGTCTCCATTGGTTCCCCCTCCTCCATCTTCTCCCAGCCCATGCCACCAACCAGTCCAGATCTGAGGAGAGCAAACAGGAAAGTTATAGCATCCTTAGTAGAGTATACTGCATTAATGCATAGCCGGTGTGTTGCAAACATACATTAACATCTCATCTCGTGGCTCAGTCTTGGGCTCCACTTTAACAGTGGGTGTGGTCTCAGCCTCAGCCTTCATTGTCACTGGCTCCTCCTCCAGGATCTCTGCTTCCATGGGCTCATCAAAGTCCATCTCATCAAACTCAATTGCATTGTCTAATTACAAGTTTAAAACAACAATTAAAAGCAACATATTTTCAAGACATTTCACCCAAATATTGAGGTCAGACATACCTTCAGGCTCCTCTGTCTTGGGCTCCTTTATCTGTGTGGTAGCAGGTTTACTAGGTTTAATATGAGCAGAAGACCTGTGTGAAGGTTCAGCTGAAGGAATCCGCGTCACCACAGGTCTGGGCTTTGACAGTTGGACTTCAGGTGAATTCTAAGAGATGGACAAAAGTTTTGTATAGTGACTATATTATGTAACTTACAGTATGAAACTTCCTATTTACACTACCATTTAAAAGTTTGAGGTCAGTAAGATGTTTTTTTTAAAGAAATCTCTTGTGCTCACCAAAGCGAGTAAAAAATACTCACCAAAAATACAGTAAAAACTGTGATTTTGTGGAATTTCATTACAATTTAAAATAACTGTTTTCTATTTTAATATTGTGTATATATATATATATATACTATAATTTATTCCTGTGATGGCAAAGCTGAATTCAGCATCCATGTTAAAAAAAAAAAGCTGTGCTGATTAATATTTTTGTGGAAATCAATCATGATACATTTAGGATTCTTTGATGATTAGAAAGTTCAAATAACAGACCTTACATATTTTGTAACATTATAAATGTCTTTACTGTCACTTTTGATCACTTTAATGCATCCATTCTGAATAAAAGTGACAGAAACCCAATGTATGCATCCTCAGTCTCACAAAGAAAAAAAAATCTAAGTTTTATCCTTTTGAACAAGGGTTAACTACCTTTGGCACCTGTGGTTTGACTGAAAATGGATTCATAGGGGATCCCAGTGTTTTCTTCTTCTTCTTCAGAGTAATGACTGGAGGTGGAGTAAGCAAAAGCGGCTTCTGTGAAACATTCAAATGATCATGGGGTCATAAAGCTGCAATGACTGACATGTAGTATGAACATTGTAGACTGTAGACTTATCTATTAATACAAAAGGTCATAAACATTCACCTCAGAGTGCAGGTCCTGCAGAATATCTCCCAGCAGATCATCTTGAGACAGATCCACATGTTTCTACAATGCAAATCATGGAAACAGACAATTCTGTTTAAACTACAGAAAAATGACCTCCATTACAAATGCCAAATAATGGCAGAACTTTCCTTCTTGGTTGAACTACTCCTTAAATATTTAAGTGCAAGTTCATTTAATTAATGTTTAGATTAAATAGTTACATAAAGGTCAATTACACTGAAAAAAAAACATACAGTGAACAAAGTGGCAAATTGAGTCTTACCTCAGTAGGTTTCTTCACATTGCTATTCATGAACATGCTTTTAATGCTGTTGGGTTTACCGACAGGCACTTTTTTCGCATTTTTTTTCGAATTGCCTCCCTTTCCACCTTGTTTACCTGTTTACGATAATAAACTGGTAAAGACAACTCAAAGAACGATGCTTAGTATTGCTAATCGTCAAAAAAGGAAAATGAAAGGCACTGATTTTTCAACACTCACTTTTAGGGCCCTTCTCCAGTGCATCATCATCCAATTCATCATCAAAGATTTCTCGGCCATCCTCCACATAGCCTGTCCCATCTGACAAACACAACATACATTCAGCTGGTGTGCTTTTAAACATTGAGTTCAGCAGAGAGGTATGAAAATTTAACTGACCGTCATCAATGATCCAATCATCATCCTGTCTCTCCCGCACCATTTTCGAGTACTGCTCTTCATCCACCTCCTCATACACACTGGTGAACTCCTCCACCTGATCACAAGACAATGTCAAAACACTGGAACAGCACAGGTGATGTGTACCAACAGTTGACATGCAATGTACCTCATATTTAACCTTCTCTCCCTTCTTGGCTCGTTTAATTTGCTCTAAAGCCGACTTGCGCCCCACTTTCTCTTTTTTCTCCCGCCTGGAACGTGAGGCAGCAATGCCACATGTGTCGGATGCATCTATAGGACGCATAAGAAAAAGCGGTTCAGTAAAATCAAACTCCAACAAGCATAAATCATACTATATAGCAAACTGAAATGACAAGCATCAGATTATAAACAAATCACAGTGTTGTTTTTTATCAAACAGGGTCACTTAGTTAAATCATACACTGTATGATTTAGGTTATTATTGAAAATAAAAAAGTATATATAAAATAAAATAAAATAAAAAGTATTATTACACATTAATTATTGTTTTATTTTAAAGAGATGTAATATGCAAACAGTAACAATATATTTGTAATTAACGAAATATATAACTATATAAAGATTTGGTACGTATAAAAATATTTTATATTTTTCTGGTGGGACTAGTGAAAAATCCAAATAGCTGAGTGCAGGTTTCAAAAATAAAACCCAAACAAGGAACCACTGATTCTACTGTTGTTATTATTATAACAAAGACTTAAATGGTACAAGAAGCATAATTTTATTAAACATTCTTTATTAGTATACACAAAGGAAATAGTTGCAAATTCATCATCATATAAATAAGCAATTATGTGTCGGGTTGGAAAGAGTAACTTAATTTGACAGAGTAAACATTGACATTCAAATGATGAATCGTCAAAGAAAATCACATTACACATAAGTATATTTGCATAAACGCATATTTTAGGGATTGGTACAAAAAAAATAAGTTAATTTGTGTTTAATATTATATTAGCGCTGCCGTTGTTAGTACAGGCATCCAACCTACCGGTCTAAATGAATTGCCGTACTACTTTGTAAGCTAATAACACTAAGCACTGTAAACACGCTCACCACAATCCCCACCGTCCATGTCTTTATCAGGATTTGAAACAGGAGCCATTAACATATATTAGTGCCTGATGTGAGGTAGAATTCCACCCTTCTTCAGAAGCGCCGAGCCAAAACAACAGATTCCGCGCCAAAGTGTCTTCCCGGGGAAACTCGAGCAGCGGATATGACGTTGTCAGCAGCCGTCCAATCTGATCTGAACTAGTTCACTGATCCGGTTAGACAAACCTGATTCAGTTTTTTTTATATATACAACGAAATATTTTTAAAAGGGTGGAGACTTAAAAAACACAGTTCTAATATAATTTTAATATAATTTGTTATTTACCAAGGTTTATTTTTTTCGTACAGTAGCCAGATAGAACATATTTGACTAATAACCACACAAATACAAAACACAATTAGTTTAACATTAACTAAATAACATGAAGCATTTTTACATTCGTTTCCATTTAAAATGATTGGAAAATGACATTTTACAGTATATGTTTGTTATTGTTATATCTTTATTCTAAACTGTAACCATATTCGTCTATTTACTACTTCTGTGGTTTCTATTTTAGTGTTCCTCAAAAGACTAAATAATCTGAACATATTTACATAGGAGTGATAAATATAAATAGATTTAATATAGAACAAAGATGTTCGGTTAAGCTATACGTTACGATTCACACATTCTCGGAGTGAATCATTGAATTTTGTTTGGTTGAATCCATAGACTGGTTGAATCATATCTCCGAACACGGTAACTTCTGGCCTATGGCCAATTTATTCATTCTGAACACAAACAAAATTCGACTCTGGTGGGACTCGAACCCACAACCTTTGAATGACCCCATTCTTTAATCTAGAAGTCCAATGCGCTATCCATTGCGCCACAGAGCCGATGGGACGTCCCGCTAGTTTGTCGGTTCTTCCGAAGAGTACTTTATTTTGTAACCATAATAAATAGACTCTACTATATTACATTTATTGTTTTCCCTAAACATTTGTGTGCAAAACACGATTACGTTCATTTTATATATATTTAAAAAATATATCTGAGTTTGTTGAAAAAGTGAGTTTTCAAGTCCTTTATTTTGAAATAAAGTCCTTCCGCTTGCAGCAGCACATGTGAGAAAACCACGTTGTGTGTCATTAGAACCAAAATGGCTTCGTGCAGTATAGAAGACGTGCTCGCTAAAGCAGAGAGAGACGAGGCTGAAAAACTAAGAAGTATTACAGTAAACAAAGAGTTAGATGTCGAATTTGACCCGGGTAATTTGCTTGCGTTTGACAAGAACCGGGTAGATACTCGGGAATTTAAAGACAACAAAGGGGAAGACTTTCTACGCTCTTTAGCGAGAGATAACACACAACTTCTCATCAACGAGATATGGAAACTACCAACAGAAAAGGTTGATGAAGTAATCGTCGCCAAGCTACCAGATCCAACCACACCATTACCCAGGGAAAAGCCTGCACCGAAACCAAAGCCTCCTACAAAATGGGAACAATTTGCCAAGCTGAAGGGCATTCAGAAGAAAAAGAAGACCAACATGGTGTGGGATGAAGTTCACAAGGAATGGAAGAGGCGATGGGGTTACAAACGTGCCAATGATGACACCAAGGAATGGCTGATAGAGGTCCCAGTGACTGCAGATCCCAACGAGGACCAGTTTGCAAAAAGGAATAAAGCCAAGAAAGAGAGAGTGGCCAGGAATGAGTACAACAGACTCAAGAACGTCGCCAGAGCTCAGAAGATCAAGGTGCCTGGAATGGGGCTCGCTCCCACCCCTCAGCAGTCCAAATCAGAGCTGGCACAAGCTGTCAATGTTGCCAAGATTTCCACCGCCTCTGTTGGTAAATTCCAGGAGAAACTGCCCAAGGAGAAAACGTCCAAAAACACTGGGAAAAAGAGAAAATTCCAGCCTCTTATTGGTGACTTTGGTAGTGAGAAACAAAAACAGCTGGATTTACTAAAAGTAATGGACAGTAAGAAGCCACGGCTTGATGTCACGAAAGCTGTGAATAAGCAAATGAGGGAAGAGGACAGGGAATCTGCTCAAAAGAGCAAGAAAAGCTTTGGAAAGAAGGGACGAAAAGGAAACATGTCTGGTAAAGGTAAAGGAAAAGGAATGGCTGGTGGAAAGGGAAAGGGTCCCAAAGGCAAAGGACGGAAACCTAACATGAAGCAAGGAAAGCGTTAAAATCTACAGCAGTGTGGACTTTTTACTGTAAAATCCTATATATATTGTACACATGATGTCAACGTGTCATGTGTCAGATAAAAACATAACTTTGAGTGCCTTGGTGCTGGAGTTTGAATCTGTACAATATGGTTGTATTTTGATGTTCAGATTTACCGTCTTATAAATGTCATGGATGCAGTGCTGGACTGAAGATAATTTGACTTTTTCTTGTTGTATGATGTGATTTAATATTGCCACCTGTTATTCATTAGTGATTTCACAATAAATTTAAATCTTCTCTGATATGTCATGGTCTTCGTTGAATCTTGCAAAAAAAAAAATCACCAAAAAAGTTCTATAAAGCAAATATTAAAAGCATGTTATTATGATTTGCATAATACAATATGTGCTGTAATATAATAATGAGAATCACTCTGCCTGGATACAATATTTTTTATAAATTAAATTATAGACAATACTAACATCTAACGCTTGATTAATGATTACTAGTACTGTGTGTAAATAATTTGTGATTTAAAATGTATTATTTCAAGAAATAGGATGGACAATTTTCTTTATAAATATGTTGTGTGTTTATATATATATATACACTATACACTTTTTGATTTCACTGTTAGCAGTTGTGTCAGCAACATGCTAATATCCAAATATGCTTCTAATCTCTTATTTCTTGCATTTGTTTTTTATAGCGTACATAACTATATTTGTTGTTCCATTAAGGAATAAATGGAGTTTAATTTTCAAACCACTTTGATAGTTCTGGAAATGTTTGCATAATCTGGTTTGCTGATTACTTCTAAGAACTGTTACATAAACAGGTCTGTACTTCTCGTATGCTAGCATACTGACATGGTTATTTGCCATTTAATATCAGAAAAAAACATTCATTTTTATTCATTAAACATTTTAAAATCAATGCAGCCACCTGCAGGTGCATTCATGTAATGCATCCAAATGCATGTTTAATTAATTGCGTTGGTTACAAATCTAAGATATTAAAAAATGTACTACAATGACCTCACATAAAATGTACACATTTGACCAAGCTAAACTGTAAGTAAACAACATTTATGTCTAGATTTGTTGTAGTTCTTCATTGATCATAGGCAATTATTAGTTGCATGTTACTTTAATGATGAAGTAATTTAATGTAAATTAAATTACCATAAATACCCTCACCCATCCACCAAATGAAAAACAAGACGCCATATGTTCAAAATATTGATGCGTCTACAGAATTGGTGGCTCTTTCTAAGCAAATTAATATCCTGTTCTTGAGTTGATGGATGGTGTTTGACCACCAACACCATCTCAGATCAGCTGGGGGGGTTTGGGAGGGGAAGTACCCATCTGTTGACTGCTGTCAGGCTGTAAAGCATCATTAGTCAAACAATAACCATACAAACACCCCACGCCAATGGACAAAAATGGGGCACACTTAATGCCAAAATCAATTAGCACTGCTGTTCTCAGGATGCAGGATGTGTATTGATACACCATAGAATATAGGCTTATATATATTGATTTATTCAGTTAGTTAATTAGTATTGCAGTATACCTGTACTACATTGTACTCTATACTCTGACATACCTTCAAAACCCAAAATAAATAATTATGTGTTTGCATGAGTGCTTGGAAATATTTGCAGAATCTGAATTATTTTTTGTGTCCACAGAATCTTGCAAAAATTTACATTTATATCATCCTCATATACATTTCGGAACTCAAAAATGCATGCAGCATCATCCACAGCAGGGATGTACGGTAGTGAGGCTAAACGCACGTAAACGCCGTTTATGCACCTCCCAATATTCGGAAATAGCGTTTACCCACCTCTAAAGTGCGTTTATCCACCTCTAAATTGCCTGTAGTTCCTAAGACATATTAAATTAAGCTTATGTCGTTTTAGTTTCATATTGTTCATAGTTTCATTGGTTGTTAAACCTAAGAGAACTCTTTCTGACGGCAAGGTTGCGCTGTTGACGCTCGCGCAGCCTCTCGAGGAGAAATCTAACTTACACAAATGAGCACAGCACACACACACTCAGTTAACAACATACTGTCTATAAAACATCTAAATGTGGAGTTTTTATATTTTTTAACATATGTTAAGCAACCTCAATTAAACCTCAATTATTTTTCCTGAACACCATCACGATTGAAAATGTGACATTGATTTCCTACAACAGTTCAATAAACAGTTAAAATTAAGTCACTTACATTTTAGATGCAATATTGGCTGTTTTTGTTCTGTTTCAGTAGCGAAAATAGTTCCAAACAAAAATCACAGCAGAACCACGGCGCATGTCACAGGAACACTCACTGTTTGATTCATTACTGAATGATTCAGCATTTAGAACGAATCGATTGAGTCAAAAATTCAATGACCCAAAAATCTGTCTCATTCTTGAATGAATCATCTGTTTGAACAAATCGTTTGATTGAATGAATCAATGACTCACTCATTAATACGGTCGCCTGCCGCCACCTACTGGCGGTTTAGTGTTATGTTTAAAAGTAGTATCATTCTTTCCAACGTTTCTTATATGTAAATTTAAATCAATTTCATAACATTATTTTATGCAATTGTAATTTTTCAGTGTAAATTATTTAAGTTGATCAGCCCCTATGGTAACAGCCCTATAGTGTCTTATTATTTGAAATAATTGAATTTATTGATCAAATTTAGGAATTTAAAATGAAAGATGAAGCATACATTAAATAACATTGGGGGAGGGGATATGCCCTTTAAAGGTGCAGATATTACAATATGCCGATTTAAATATAAAAGCTGATTGAACACTGATGAGAATATTGTTTCAGAATAAATTAACAAACACACAAACAAAAAAATCCGGACGAGCAACTTTTTTACTCGGACAAGCTGTGACTTGTCCAAAGGACAAGCGTATAAAAAGGCTTTGTCGAGCCCTCCCTATAGCAATGTCATCAGGATATACACCGGTAGGCAGTGGCCCACCTTACCGGGTGACCACGTCGTGGTCCACCAGAATTTATAGTTTACCCACCTATTTTTTTACCACTACACCTCTGATCCACAGTAGCCTATATATTATCAAAAGATATTGTTGCAGAAGATCTGGGTTGATGTCAAGTAAGCCATAAATATCAGCAGCAGTGGATTAGTGAGCAGCGTTTATTTAGGACAGATACAGAAACAGAGGGATCTCTGTCAGTGGATCTCACAAACAGGCCTCCGGATGCAACAGCACATTTACATGCAAAGCAATGGATAGTTTGAGGTTTTCACAACCATTTTCTCTCCACAAGGTTTGTCCTTTGCAATTTAGCACGTGTTTTGCCTAGTTGTGCTTATTTATGCATATTTGAGTTGTCTAATGTCTGACTTAATTAGAGTATTATTGCATTTGTTGATATGTTAAACACATTGGGAAACAGATTTGTTTTAACAATGTGGACAATCCAATGCATAAATAACAATTTCATTTCATTTTAAATTATTTGCATTTCTGTGCATTCCTGTTTTAACTGGGGGGTTAATCCATATTTCATTCTTAAACGGGAGTATATAATTCATAATCTGTCCACTAGATGGTGGTAACACACTGCTACACGCCTCAATGGCCGGACCAGGGACCATAGACAGTAAAAGACCATGGACATAATAAATATATGTCTATGGGCCAGAGTCAGACGACTCAGAGAGGGTGACGTCATTGAGGTACTCTCAAACCACGAATCGAGGTGGACCGGGCTTGTGCAGGACAGCCAGCAGGGGCTACTTCTCCGTCCCATGTGTCTCAGGTTAGGTCTGAGTCATGACAAACATATCAATGTAATAACTAAGGTCAGACAGTGACAAAAGCTTTATTTTATGAACATGCGTACTTTCATACACTATATTCCTCCTGCATCATATTTGTTACATAAATTGGTGAATTTTATGACAGTACGAGAATGCAGCTACTCTGTTTTCTTTGTGATTGAAAGCTTTTGTTTATGTTATAAAGGCATGAGCTCACTAAGAATGGCTTACGACGGCACAGTTCAAACCAAGCTGGGACTGTCGTGATCCTTGGGGAGGGCACGGGGTGAGTATAATGCCACCATACATAATGAGTCTGCAAATTACAGAAGTTGACGCCCGTCGACCCCCACCGACACACACGGGCAGCTGCTCCCCCTCCCAGCATCACACACTCCCCAAACAGGTGGCTTATAGCTCATTAGCTAACAATGCACACACATAGCACACAGGCCTGATCGATTCTCGCACAATGAACCCTTCCCGTTGGCTTTTATGCATTTTATATACACTGGTCAAAAGTTTGTAATAATCAAGATTTTTTTTAAATGTTTTTGTAGGAAGTCTCTTTTGGTCAAAGGCTGCATTTATTTGATCAAAAATTCAGTAAACAGAAATATTGTGAATTATTTATTACAATTGAAAATACCTGTTTTCAATTTTAATTAGTGCTGGGCATCCAAAATAAACGTTTGTGTTTACATAATGTATGTGTGTGTACTGTGTATTATAATTTTGTATAAATACACATACATGCATGTATTTAACCGGTACTTTCCTGTTATCCGGACCCCACGATAGTGATATCACAACATTACACCAATGTCAGTGAGAAGAAAATTACCCTAACCCTAACACTTCTACACCAGTTCCCGAAAGAAAAATGACCCAGGTAAAAAATCTATTCAAATTATATGAATGAAACAAATGTATTTATGTACAATACTGTCTCTATCATCATATGGGGATTAAAATTTGACATATTTTTGTAATAGTAGCACTCTAGGACATCAGTAAATATGAAGTACTCGTTTGAGGACATTGGGACTATATTACGTTATCCCCTTAACTGTCACCGTCCCACGTGGGACGTTTGCCCATATATATTTAGAACAATAATATCTTAGTAAAAACCTTAAGTAATATTGACAAACTAAATATAATTTGAAAGCTTGCAATCTCTAGTTTTCATATTTGGTGGCTGTTTTTAAAAATAAATTACAGAATAGCAGTAATTTATCAATTTGCAACAAGAATATTTCATATTCATTAGGCGTGTTTAGGCCTTTATTTTGAAATAGAAAAAAAAACATGAAAGATTGGTAGAAACCTCAGTTTGTTTTCATGCCAAGAGTTCAAAAGATAACACTAATTAAATGTAATGAGAAAAAAAGGTCTGAAATTTTTTAGAATATAAAGAAAAATATTATGAATTCTCGATTTGTGATGCGGCAGCGAGCTATAACGCACATATGTGCTCTTTTTATGTTTATT